GTGTTTTTGTTTTGCTGCGTCGTTTTCGTCCTAGTGAAAATGTTATAAATTTACAATTTCATTTTAAAAAAAGTGTTAATATGAAAGTACAGAAGTGATGTTGAAAAGTGCATAAAGTGAAAATTTTCAAATTCTTATCCGTTGCATGTGGTGCCGACTGTTCTAGACTACGCGTAGTTAAACTCAGCTAAGTTTATTTACCTTTTCGTTCTTCTGTCCTCGATAGGAAATATTTATCTAATTCAAGACGATCATTTCAAAACTTACTAAATACGCGCCAATCAGGTATTGCACTACTGCTTGATTGACAGTTTTAGTACATTATCAATGGTGTATATTTGCATCGATAATGTATCGGAGCGGAGCTTATCATGTGTGAAAATAGCTTCGGAATACTTGCGTTCCTGAAACGGGCTATTGTAGCTGCGGTAGAGCTGTCACCTTTTAACTCCCGGGTTCAAGCTTCTTGCATACATGAGAAATGCACAAGTTTCGATATATTGAAGCGAAGGGGGGCTATTGACAATAATATTGATGATGTGAATACAGAATTATTGTCAATACCGATGTATTGACGTCAATATAGGATGTATTGCCAATACGATTATTGTCAATAAAAGCAATCGTGTAGGGTCCTCTTAGATGAAAGTGATACAACCTTCAACGATCGAGAACTTCCTGGAGCTATTCTGAGATTTCGTTAGCTTAGAATTTTGCCACGAATTTTATGGGACTATGTAAAATTCCACATGACTATCATGTGTCCACACACAAACAGAATCCACTCAGAAGTACACATGACATTTATGAATAAAATGAATAGTATGTGTGGTTACACATGAATTATATGTCAACACATAAGAACTATGTGTCCGATACATATATATCATTTGTTTATCACAATGCAAAAAATCATGTGTGGGACACATAAAAATAATCATTGAATTTTTATTAGTGTACAACACGACTTTCTCAGATAAAAACATTCGATATTCTTATGGTCTCTTGTGTTAATGTCTAGAATATACTTTTGCCCTTATAGGTCACGTTTGTAGGTACCGCTCTTTTTTATGAGGCTGACCAGTCTTCAAGCGTGTATGAGTCCAGCGAGCTTGCAGTACCGGGGCGCTCCGCGTACTTTAAACACCGGCTAAGCATTAGACAAAAAAAATGTTACGTCAGAAAAACCCAGTTTGGCACACCATGTTATTTGAGCTCTTTTCAGAATGCTCTTGCATCAATTGTTTAATTAACATTTAGAGGCCGTCCCTATTTAATCTAATAATTAAATCAAATTAATGTGAGTCAATTGGAACTCGAAAATTATGTCGAAACGGTTTTTCATGAAAATATGTATTCAGCTTATTCACTACAGTCCTGTCAAGATTGATTTCATGCCACATCTTGCTGGACCTTATTAATGAATCATTGCAAACTGGACATGTGCCACAAATTTGGAAGGAATCCTTAGTGGTTCCTTTTCAAAAAGTTGCTGGAACGATTAAAGGCGAAGAGTTTGGAGTGTAAAGATATAATTGTTGCTGTTTTCTTGGATCTTAAACGTGCATTTGAAAAAAATTCTAGGCCCTTATTGTTAAGATCAATCAAGCGCTTTGGAATTACGAGTACTGCATACAAATGGTTTGAAAGCTATTTGTCTGACAGAACTAAACGGACTGTTTTTAATGATTCTGTTTCCAGTCCAGTGGGAGAATAACCTTGGAGTGCCCCAGGAAAGTGTATCAGGGCCTTTGTTATTTATTATGTATATTAATGACTTGCGACGTGTTTTACGATTTTGCGACATTAATCTTTTTGCAGATGATACTGTGTTATTCATTGCAACTAAGGATTTAGATGATGCCGTTTTACACTTGAATGAAGATTTGCGTTCTCTAAGTAGAGATGTGCTTCACAAAATTCATTATAACGTTCAGCAACACTTACAAAATTCAGAATACACTGCATTTCACACGTCAAAGTGCCTTTTGAACAGTTATCCAATGATTTTTTTATTGAATTGACAAATTATGTATCTTGACGAAGTTATCTCTAACGGATTATTTTATATGGATAGCTTTCATAACAACTTTTGACTAATTCTTGTAGCACTGCAAAAACTATTTCTGTTTGCCACGATGGTGATGATGGATTTTTAATATTTGATTTAATAGTAGTAGATTTAAAAGAAAGTAGTCTAAAAAGGTTTGAGCCTTGCGCGCGTATTACGGATGTAGAGGACTGAATTTAAAATTTGATAAAAAATGCTATTTTGAAGCTCATTTGGAAGATACCTTGAGTTAGTAGTAAGTTTTCTGGCAAATGTTGGGGGTTCATGAGCATTCCTGACATTGCTGAAAATTATGATAGCATCAGATTGCGGGGTTGCTAGTGTAATAGGATGCTTCGTTGATTGTTCATTAACTCTTGATTGCTTGTAATACTTATGAATATTTTAGGTGGACAAAAAGGCGAACTAAGAGGTGGACGCCTGAGCTTTTCCACATTTATATCGCTGTGAAGCAACTGTAAACTCTAGAGGGAATTTATACCTGTAACTGTAACCAGTTCGATTTTGTTTGCTCACCTGGTTAAAATGTCATATTTAATTATCTTAAAGATAAATCGTCCAGCTCAAACCTTTGTAGGGGTAAGAGGTGCGACCATCATCTTCTATTTACCTCAATGCTTGGAAAGTTCTCAAACTGTAGAACACCAAGTTACCCGATCTTCGCGTCAATTACATAAATTCTATGCCGGCAACGCTGCTCGCAATGTCCCATTCATATTCTCTCGCTAGCTGCTCAGTATGCACTCACTGGCGCGTGTCTATAATGCGACTCCTCGAGATCCTGGCAAGAGCCGATAACGCGAGATGATACACACTCCACGCCATCCCGCCGCCCATCCGTTGCGGTCTCCACCAACACACCGATACCGGTCGCGCACCGTTCTCTTTCTCACGCTCTTATTTTCCGAACATTGTTGATGGGTCATTTTTTCCGGAGTAGGCAGGTACCTACCTACCACACTACTGACAGGGAGTGCGTGCGTGCAAATTTCCGCACTCTGCGCCCTTGTTTTTTCGTCCTGTGCCTGTCATGGATGATGGGTGGTAAAGCACTAGACGGGCCCGACCGTCGTTGGCAATAGTAAAAAGTTAAATTTTGCTGCGTGCGAAGAAAATGTGTGTCGAGACGTGAATTTTGATTTAGGTTTAAAAATAATCCAATAGGAGAGATTGTTTCACGACACGACGATGGTGGGAAATTAGAGCATGGCTCCCACACAACAATAAATGGTGAAGTCAAGTGCGGGAGAACGGGCCACAGCGAACAGAGAAATTTCTCGTGATAAATTAGCTCGGCGCGGGTGACAAACAAAGAAAGTGTGTTGTGTGCTCAAAGTTTTTCGGGAGCGATACTTGTGATTCATTAGCAGAAAAAAGTGATTCATCACAGATAAGCTCATTTGCGTAGGCTTAAATCAGACTAGTACTAGTGCTGATGATGGGGTTTTCGAGTTTTGTTCTCCCACCCATTGGCGCCCATTCCACTAGGGATGACTAGCAGGCTGCAATCTCAATTCGTTATCCCTAAAGGATTCACACGTTTCATGGCCTCCTAGGTGAAAATGTGGACAACAACAAATCCAACAACATGCTCGCCATTCTCGCGCACACAAACTTACGTGGTTCAAGCACATACACAGTGGCAGCATCTAATCTAATCGATAAACAAAGAAAGTCAGACAGAATGTCGTGGAATGCTACTCGTTGATTTTTTTTTTCGGTAGTGGGTGGTAAGGTGAAAGTGTGCAGAAGCAATGGCTGGCGTGTTTTGCTGTTCCGCTCACCGTGGCGCAGTGTGAAGAAAACGTCACGCGGAAAAGAGCTAAGAATCATGTCGTGTCTATTCTGTAGTTTGTCTTCGGGAGGGATTTTTATGAATGCCGCCCATCATAAATTACTGCTGTGACGATAAACCTATAGTAGACTTGTCAAATTCCGAGAAGTACGCTGTTACTTCTGGCATTCCAGCGGAAGAGAAGTGTTCTCATTGCTATGTTACATTCTTCTGGGAGACTGGAAAAGGCGCATGTAAAAGTTTTGTAAAATGATCTTCCAACCAATCTTGCGTTGACCTTTATGGATACCATTCTTGTGAACATTGTTTTCATTCAATATATGAATAAAAAACGGTTTTGATCATATATTATCGAGATTTCGCAGATTTAAATAAGACATCTAGAGTGATTCGGGATAGGGGTTCAACTGCTTTTATAAACAATGATTTCAATCGCCAATTACTCGCGAACAAAAGATTGATCTCAGCTAATTTGTTTATTAACTTTATGAAACTAGAAAACCTTCTTGTGAAAGTTTTGTACGAACATGTTGATTCTTAAAAATGTTATCTGTGCTGCGGTTTCTCATAAGAAACATATACAGACAATCTAATTGGTGTTGGTGCTTATGCGTGCTTTGTAACAATGCTTAGTTCAATATTTCCATCCAAGCATTACCATAAAATGTGCTACTGAAGAGAATATTACATGACGGAAATGAACACTAAAATCACAAGACGTCTGGTAGCAACCTCTAGTGTATAGACAATGTATCCAGACAAAAATATCTAGTGTTTTGATCTTAAAACAGTGGCTACATACAGAATGCATAGAAATCAACTATGATATTTGGTAATATTGCAAAAATAATAGATCAATTCTACATAGGGCTTCGGCAAATCCTTAATGTATTATCGTCAGGGGGTAAACAACGTCCTTGAGAGCTCAATTTTGGCATGTGGATACATTGTGTTTCAGAGCATCTATTGGCCAAATTTGTGTGCTCAAGGACTTTGTGTACCCCCTGTCGATAATAGGTTAAGATATTGCAGAAGCCGACATTTCCCCTACCATAAACATCAAACCTATTCTAATTACATCTACTTGACATAAATATGTCTCTGATCAATTGTGTTATCTCTCCCATGTTTCAGGTATTTTGTCTCCTCCGGGTCCTTTTTTAACGCCGAGTCCATCGCCATCGGTTCCAGCGAGCCCACGGCTGCAACCTTCACCATCTCAGTCACCATTTCAACAACATCAACAACAGGATGTCCTGCTGGTAACGAACAGTAACATTGTTGGCAGCTTGACTCAGGAGCCGGTAAGCACTGCACGTTATTTGATAGCCGTGTTCCGATAACTACAATCAAAGGCTTTACAATTTTTCCAGGATCGAAAAGTAGGAATCACCAATCGTCGCCAATCGTTCAATCAGCTGCCCCACCATCAGCAGCAGCAACAACATCAACAACAGCTCAGCAATAGCAGTCCAAATGCAGGTACCGTGGTTTACAGGCCGAGTCCTACTCAGTCACCGGCCGGAGCTGCAACCTACAGCATTACGACTATACCTGGCAATGAATTCAACACGACACTAGTTGGGTCGAATAACATCTCGTTGAATAAGGTACTATCCAGATAACTTTATTTTTGTTTATCAATAACTCTAATTTGCATCAATATTCCTAGAAGGGCCGCAAATCTTCTTCTGCGACTGTTATCCACCAACCATCGCTCATTCACCCGCAACAGCAACATCATACCTTCATCCAGTCACATGCAGGTCATGGACATGGGACGACTATCGGTGCTCCTGCATGTAGCCCGAAAGCGGCGAAAAAAGCCCTACAGCAGCATATCCATCATCAACAACAGCACCACCAGCAGCAGCAGCAGCAACAACAACAAGCGCAAACAGTGTCCTTTGTTGGAAGTCCAATTGCCAGCCCCAGCCCGATTGCAAGTCCCAACGGATCGATCTTGGTTACTACGAGTAGTCACGGTGGCTTGGGTGGTAGCATTATTGTTGGCAGTGCTGGACACACACCAGGCAGAGCAACATCAACTACACCCGGACCGGGGGCATCGGCAACCGGAGCTACCCAACTAAGGCCTCCTACACCGCAACCTGTGATACAACAGGTTTGTTTTATCATCACATGGTTGTCGTATAAGTAATCATTCAAAATTGTCTTCATTTTCAGTATCCTGTTATGGGTGCCGGCAATCAAATAGTGCAAATATTCCAAGGTTCTCAATTCATTACACAACAACCAGCTGTTTCACAACATCAGGGGCAACAACAGCAGCATACTTCAGGGCAGCCTCAGCAGCTACAAAACCGTCAAACGATCATATCGCATTCGCCCCAACCGCAGCATATAGGCTCTCAATCGTTGCACACGTCTCATCATCAGCAGTCCCAACAGCAACAGTTCTTTCAACAGATTATTACATCTTCTCCGTCCTCGAATACATCTCCGTCGCCATCTGCACAGGTAACCGTTGCCGGTGGTGCAGTCATCATTGGAGGACATAAACATCAAAAAGGTCCACAGCAAATCTTGCCAAAACCAGTGACTCCATCGGTATCTCCCTCGCCTGGTTCCGCACATCAGAGCCCACAGCAGCAGATGCAGCCAACCTATAGTCCTGTATCGCTGAGTAGTTCTATCAGCAAGTCGATTATGACGCAGCCTAAAACTACGATTGTAAATCACATGCCAGCACAGATTCAGGTGACGCAAACAGCTACTGGTGGTCAATTTGTTACTCAGTCAGGCTCACAGCAAGCTCCGCAACATCAGACCACTACACAGCAGCCACAGTTGGTGGCGACACCGCAGACGACTCCAACGGCAACATCCACGCCTGCACCATCGGCGACACCACAAAATGGAGGTTCTATACTACTGCCAACTGGAAATCTGAACGCACAACCCCTTCTGCTCAATCAAATGCCGGTTATCGTTCAGCAAAATACTCCCCAAGGTGTCCAGCTGATATTGAGGCCTCCAACACCGCAGATTGCTGCACCAAGCTTGGTGATTCACAATTCGAGACCACAACTCCAGCAAACACAACCCCAACAAGTGCTCCGAATATTGAATAATGGTGCAATGCAACTGTCAGCTGCTCCAACCTTTATTGTGTCTTCTCAGGGGAACTTGGTGCAACAGAATATACCTGGGTTAAAAACCAGCCAGGGAGTTCCGTTAACCCAAATTCAAGGCTTGCAAGGTCAAAGGCAGCCACAACAAATCACGGCCGCTATAAATCAACATTTGCTCAGTCAAGGTGTAGCTCAAATTCAGAATCTGCAGCTAAACGGTAATCTGACCCAAATACAGGTGCCAAATGGATTGAATGGTCAGCTATTGACCACACTGCCAGCACAATTTCAGCAAGGTGTGGGTGGGTTCAGCTTGCAAAACCAGAACATAAACTTAAATCAATTAGGGAATACAAATTTTTCGCAACTAGCAGCTGCTGCTGCGGCAAGCGGAGCAACCTTTACTTCACCTCCTCCTCCAACGGTGCAGACTTCTACACATCAAGGAGATATTGTGAGTACTCAGAATATACAGTTTACAACGGCACAACCTGGAGGCACCATAACCGTTAGTGCCCCCGCTCAGCAGCCATCGCATGGCCATTTAATTGCTAATTCGTCAATAGACGGACAAATGCAAACCCATTTGCAAATCAACTCATCGATTACGTCCCAACCAATGCGACATCCAACTCCTATAATGACGACTGCCGGAGGGCATCAGGTCATTGTGACCGATGCCAAAGGGCAGCAACATCATCTACAAAATCATCAACCCCAAGCCCAGCACCATTTTTTTAGCGGAAGCACAATCCAGCAGGCACCTGTACAGATACAACAACAACAACAACCACAACAACAACATCAACAACCACAGCCAAAGTTTGAACCCGAGAAACCCAAAAAAGAGCGTAAGAGTAAAAAGAAGAAAGCTGTCCAGCCTCCGATAGCAACTGCTGCTCCCATTATAGTGACACCTAGTCCTGTAGTGACGAGCCAAGCGTCAATGATCAGTGCTGCACCGATCTCAGCTACTCCGACACCGACAAGCTATACTGAGCCCATGACGTCACCACCGACGTCCCCAATGTTTACCAATACCCATACCGCCTCTGGGAAGCTAGATCTGGCAAATCTAATGAAAATTTCCGGCATCGGTATCGAGGACGACGATTTCATGGACACGGAAGAACCGCCACCTGCTCCACCACCACCACCTTTGGTGCAAACTCAACCCAATCTATCATCCCAAGACTATGCCAATGTTGTGATACAGAACGATGCGGTTGTCAAAGATCAGATTATGTCTCCACCGCCGGCACCATTGCCGCCGACTACCACCGATATTATGATCACGATTCCGGCCAGTGCAGCCGGATCCAACGTCGATTTTCCCTACACGATCTCGATTCCTACCTCGGGACTTGATGGCCAGGATGTTCAACCAAAGACATCGAGCGAAATTCAACCAAAGCCACCAAGTTCACAGCAACAACATCAACATCCGCCTGCACCACCTCCACCACAACAGGCTCATCAACCCGCTCAAGAACCTCCCCCTTTCATGATAACTATTGACCCCTCCAGTGATCCCAATTCAGCTCAACCGTACACGATCTCAATCCCTCGGATGTCAGGAAGCGGTCTGGATGATACCAAGGTGGTCAGTGTAGCAACTGTCGCACCGACACCAACTGCAGGCACAGTAACTTCAAGCACATCAGTGATCACCAGCACTCAGCAAAATACGTTCTGCGTGAACAGTTTGATGAATAATGTTCTGAACACGCAGGTTACTCCAACACTGCAAAGTCAGATCAATGAGATTCAGAACCAACTAATACAGGCGGCAGCCTCTTCAACAACTACCATGCCGTCTTCCATTGCTGTGATAAGTCAAAACTATATGGTACATCAAAACCACCCACAAACACTGATATCAACATCCAGTATGAGTACACCGATCGTAACAACTACATTAACATCACCAGTTACAACTTCAATGGTAATTTCTCCGAGCAAACCTACGGTCACCCCATCGAAAAAGAAATCCGGAGGCAGTAAAAAGAATGGGAAAAAAATGGTGGATAAAACTATTGAATCGATCAATACGTCCGTTCCGACACAAATCGGAAACATTCAGATCTCCCAGATTGACGGTACAACAGTAAATAATAATAAGACTACAAAAGGTGCAATCAATAATCAGATTCAAATAACGCCTATACTTGATAGCAAAGCGGCGGCACAGCAGTTCTCGACTGGAGTTCCATCACAAACGCAAGTTCAGTCAAATCCAACACATTCGGTGCAGGCACCACAACAAACCATCCAAGCAGTGGTGAGTCAAGCCCAAGTTCTGCCTCAATCTGTAACGCAAACCCAGTCGATGCAAACCCCTCAACCAATGCAGCTACCACCGCCTCCACCGCAGGTTCAACAAACGTCTGCGCAAGGTATTCTTTCGCAACTTACGGGAGCATTGAGCCTTTCCCTCGCGGAAAATGGTCATCTGATCCTTAAACATGACGTTAACAGTCCCCAAGACAGCCAATCTCAAATGATACTTCAAGCAATTCTGTCCGGTGCTTTAGGGAATGTTAGTTTGGTTAATGAACCATCGAAACCAGTGCCAACGACCATCTCAGCACCAGCAGTTTCTCATCATTCTCCAGTGTCAGCTATTCAGCAGCCTGCGAAAACAGTTGCCGCTGTTAGTGGGCAAATTCAACATAAGAATGTAATCGTTACCAGTTCACAGAGCCAGCCAACGTCGGTTGGACAGTACATGCCAGCATATAATTCACACACATCCAGCATTGTTACGTCAGCTAATTCTGGACATGTTATGCAGCAGCAACATACGCAACCACCACAGCTGATCCATCATCAGCAGGTTATTCACTCGCAACCATCGAACGTTACCCAAAGCTTGAAAGAAGTGCGAAAGCATGAATCAACCCCTCTCGAGCCCCCTCCACCTGTGCCTCAACCGCCACCACCTCAACAGACAATAGTCCTCAATTCAAACGCGCCAAAACTTGTGGAACTTCCCAAAATTGAACCCAACCAGCAACTGTTCTCCCTAAATACTCTCACGAATCAGATCACCCAGTTGAGTCCAGGCCAAACCACTGCTGCCCTGGGACCAATGGAGCGCTTGCTCATCGTTCCAACAGGAATAAATTCCCAACAATTGGCTCAATGCTTGCTACAAGGGCAGATTCATTTCAACAACATTGGACCAGTTACACAATCCAGTGAGCCGAAGCAACAGCCTCCACAACCACTACCACCGCAACATCAGTCAGTCCCTCAACCGGTGTTCCAACATCAACAACAACATCAACAACATCATCAACAACAACAACAACAACAACAACAACAACAACAACAACAACAACAACAACAACAACAACAACATCAACAACATCAACAACATCAACAGCAACAGCAACAACAACAACAACATCAACAACAACATCAACAGCAACATCAACAACAACATCAACAGCAACATCAGCAGCTAGTGATTCAGAACAATCCCAATTTCAAGCCAACCCAGACACATGTGACTATGCCTGTCATTCCGAACAAGCAAGTGGTGAACCATCAGATAAAACCGGAAAAACCGAAGCGGAGCCGATCTAAAAAAGCCGACAAACTACCAGCCAAGCAGAGTTTGGTGAAAGTAAACCCGGTGAGCAGTGGCCTACCACCCAACGTTATCCTTCAACCAGGGCAGCATGCTCAACCGATTCTGGCTGAAGATGGTACTAAAATTGGAACGAAAATCGTTGGCACGGTTAATCCAAACAATTTTGTAACTAATCCAGTACCAACAGTGTCGGCACCGCCCATTGCACAGGTTCAGCCACAACAGCAAATACAAATTGGCAACAACAAGACGATAATCAATAAACCAATGACCACAGCGGTTGTCGCTGCCACCGGAGCAACCCAGTGCAATAATCTCATCGTGACTCATGCCAGTAATGCAGCTAACGGGACAACCGCTAATAACAGCAGTACTCTTAGTATTAGTAACAACCACAGTAGCAGTAGTAACAGTAGTGTAAATGTGTGTGTTCAACCGAATAACGTTTTAAGTGGTAGTAGTATAAGCACTAGCGGTAGTAAGAAAGGAAAAGTCCAACCCCTTCCGTCGCCGCAACCGATGATGAACCAAATGCCTCCCCTGGTTAGCGTTAATTCTGGAGCAGCCCCAACGACGAGTTCAACCGTTGGAGCACCCAGTTTAGTTCCCCGTGTTCAGACAATCCAGCTGACGCCTCAAAAGCAGCAACTCCTCAAAAACGTCCAACAACAGATTCAAACACTATCGGCAAAACTACAGAACAAAAACCTGCTTGCTACGTTGACCATTCCGGCGGATTTTGATCCAAATAATCCAATCTACAACAAACCACTGCCCATACTAACAAACATCCAAGGTATGTCGGATCCAGAAATAACGCAAGCTCTTCAAAGATTGTTCATTGAGCAGCAAAAGATCTTAGCCACAGGGAAAATAATTCCAACGATTCCAGCAGGGCATGCTCTAGCTGTGGCAGCTGCAAATGCTCCACCTCCTCCGGCACCAATTTCTGGAACGATGATTCCCGGTGGAGCTATTATCAGCAGTGAACCAAAACCTCAGCAGGCTATTGTTTCTCCAATAACCGTTACGCCTTCTTCGGCTAATGCTGCTTTGTACCAGGGAGGAGCTAACATACAAACTACTCCTACGCCAATACAGATAAGTTCTCCGCAGGTTGTGAAACAAGATAACATGATTCCTGTCTCTTCGGCATCGAACTATCCAAGTTCAATTGTAACCAGCAGCAATTCATCAATGTCTATTACCATCACCAATAGCATGGCTATTCAGCAGGCGAGAGGAACACAGCCGAAATTGAGTGGTACACCGATCACCTCGATCATTCCTATAAGTTCCTCACTTCCGCCACAAACAAGTGTAACAATCACGCAAGCTCCCCAGATTGTCGGTCAATCAATAGTAAAATCAATAGCAAAGTCAACGCCTTCACAGCCTCAACAACATCAGATCATTCTAAACAATAAAAATATCACCAGAACCAGTACTCCCAGTAGCATTCCGATGCCTTCGCTGGTTCCGACGCAAACACACCATCTTCAATCTATGAGCGTCACAAAGATTGAGCTTCCGCCAACTCCGCCACCATCGCTGGTGTCTACTCAAAATCGGTCTAATACTCCAGTGCCTCCACCGCTGGTCCCTACTTCTATGCCTATCGGCATTCAAAGCAAGAACTTCACTGGCCAATCCATAGTGATAATGAGTGGTTCTCAAGCCATCCTAACCAATGCCCTTCCTCAAAATTCAACCGGTACTGGTATAAATTCCAAAACATCACTAATGCCAACATCTGCAGGAGGGCTAACCATTCAGGCTAATCCATCGCTTCAAATTCAGCTGCAGCAACCCCAACAACCTATGAACATTGTTCCACCACCTCTCATTACGATGACTTCTTCAACTGCACCGACCCCTCCGATTGTAACTTCAACTGCTGCCAGTATGCAGCAAGCTCCCATTGTTGCAATGCCAACAACTGTTTCAACAATCACCACAACTGTTACGACAAACAGCGGGGAATGTGGCCAAATACCGGTCGTATCCTGCAGCAGTAACCCGGTCTTGGTTTCCTCCAGTGTAACGACACCTGCTACAAGCAGTGCCAGTTGCATCACTGTAACGCCACCAATTCCGACGATAGTAACCACGACCATTCCAGGCAGTACGAAGCCTGTCGTAGTGCCGCGATCAAGTTTGTGAGTGTGATATTGAACTTGATTATTCAAATAGCTGAAGCCATCCTTTTCCAATCAGTAGCTTATAACTTTATTTTTCTTTTTGTGTTCCAAAATAGATTCGAGCGACAAATCTCAGTGGATCAAGATGCGTGCACGAGACCGGATACCACTGCGCCTTTTGCTAGCAAACAAGATGCTGTGAAGCGGCTGATTCGGTACCACTGTATGTACGAGGAACGCTGCGAGGAAAACGAAGTGGAAGAACATACATTTCAATCTATGGCCCAGGAATTTCCAATCGTCTACAGGAATATGCTCAACAAGTATCAGTACTTGTTGATGCAGGAATCAACGGTGAGGCTGATGCATGTTCATTTCGGTTTGATTTTCTTTAATGTTTCTATTTGATTTTTATTCAGCGTCACGTCCGTACGGCCGAACTGATGATGGTCGACCGCATGCTGAATTCGGATGTGAAGGACGAAATACTGGAGATGCAGCTGAAAATCAACGAGTACATGAATCCAACTGTAAACGAGCTTCATTTGAATATCGAATCTCAACAGACTCTACCGATGCACCAGTTACATTCACCAAATCAATCGTCGCTACCAGTTACGGTTGAAGAGTATAAAATTAAGAAGGAAGAATTAACATTTGCCAATTCACCAATGCCCCCACAAAATTCAACGGACGGTTCGTTCTCGTGTAGTGCTCAACCAAGCACCTCGAACGCTTATCTATCAGGCATCAAAACAGAAATCAAGTCGGAAGGAAATCCTACGGAAGAATTAGTTGCATACCGGCATCATAGCAGTGCTCAGCATGCCAATCAGCACTATGCTCCACCTCCTCCGATGATGGCAAAAAGCAACATCATCCGCCCATCAACCGATCTGCTCAAAAAGGAGATGGATAGTTTTGACGACATCGAGAGCGAGATAACTCCCAGTTTCATAATGAAAAAATGTGATAGCATCCCACCGGCTCTTCAGATTCCACCTGCTCCACCATCATTGAGCTACTTCAACCATGTGGGTGAGGGCCACTGTTTGAGCCAGAATCAATCGAGCAATAGTGACGTGCCTAAGTCAAGCGAATCCTACGACGAGTGGTTATGTATTCAAAAGGAACTCAACTACATACCCAGCGAAAGGCGTGATCATTCTGTTAAAAATGTAAAGAGCCCGGAAGAAGAGATAATCGAAAAACAGTTGGATGATCTGTTCCACCCTTCTAGTGAGGGTAAGGACAGTGATGTTAGTCGAAGTCAGGTGGATTCACCTCTCGCCGATTTCTTCAACACCCATCAGCAAGATTCCGGTGTAGGAGGTAGCGCCGGGGGATCCAGTGTGCCTTCGGATAAGTCTGTTGAGAATCGATTGGAGGCGTTATTTGGTAGTACACCTCTACACAACAGAAGTTCGGAAGATAACTCACCAGAAGCGGCCGAAGAAAAGCAATCCGACATGATCGAAACGAGGTTGGAGGCGTTGTTCCAGAGTGGTGAAAGCGCTCTGGACAACGCCAGTTTTCTGCATAAAACGAATAATTTTGAAATGATCCAGACTCAGATTACCCAGAAACGACATTGGAGTGCAGCGGAGTGCGAGTGGGAAGATAATGCAAGTCCTGGTAAGAGACAGTGCCTACCTGGAAGCAATAGAACTCACGACGACGACCACCGGTGGCTGCTCGAGTGCACTCAGGGTCAAAATCAACCTCATTCAAATCATTCCATCGGAGGGATTCGTGGTCACTCACAGGTTCAACAGGATGTCAATGCGCTCGCCACAGGTAACAATCATATTCTTAACGATAATGGTGATGGTAATGGACACATACCCAACACTAACACTAGTACTAGTGGTAGCACTACTAATACAAAACGCACTTCCTGGAATGGTGATATCCTTCTTGCTTCGGCGACCGGTGATCTCGATATGCTCGACACTAACCTCAGTCTAAGTTTGAATAATCTCAACAGCATGTGTGGTTCGGTGGGTATAATGACAAACGATGTTCCTTCCTCGCATCATGGGTCTATCTCCGACCATAAGACATCCAAAAATTGCTTCCATTCGCCGGTTCTCGGTGGAGAAAACTGTGATGATACTAATCTAATTGGTCTTGGAACTGGTGGTGGTCTTAACAATTCTAGTCATTCTCATAGTCATAGCGGCAAGTTAAACTATCTCGATCGTGATCTTCTAGGGTTGGATGGATCAAACGACACTTCCAAACAATCCCACCAGCACCAATCTGCGTCCCACTCCGCAGTCAGCGATCTACAACATCAGCTCAATCACATAAACTTTGATGCAAGTGGAGGACAGCTGAATTTTGAAGAGGACATCAACCGGCAGGTTCAAAATGCCATCGACTCTATCCTGAACCTGCAGAGCAACGATTCCGAAGCTGCTCTTCATTTTTCCATCGACCAATCGTTCCTGGCGGATAGCCCGCAGTCCATTCAGCGACCGCCGTCTTCAAACAAACGAAAATACCATCATATCACCAGGATAGATGACATAAGTGACTGTCTGGGTGCGGTCATGGATGAAAGTGGTGATAATTCGGGTGTTCATCACCATCAACAGCAGCTTCAGAATCATTTTAACCACGTACAGATACATCATCATCATCATCATCAGCAGCAGCAGCACCACCAACAGCAACCACAGGGATCAACAACGGTAGCAGGCTCTACTACGGTCGACGGAGCGGGTGCTGATGCAACGGTCAAGACGATTATCAAATCGTGACAACTTTCGTCCATTGGCGGAGGTGCCGGAGGAGGAACGTTGGTGGTTACCGGTCCGTCGGTAGCCCCAGCGTCAGCAACGACAGCGGCAGTGTGAAGTACTACCGACCACAAATAATCGGAACATGTTTTAGTATCAATGGAATTTAGTACATTTTTGGTCAAGATTTATAAGGTTCACGTGCTCGGGGAAGTGGGTTCAAAATGTGTATGTTGTGAGTTTTAAAACATCGAAGTGAATAATTTCAAAATATAGTGTATGGTGGTAGGTGCGATAACGCCGCAGGCCTTGTCATCATTCTGTTTGAGTAGGTTAACTGAAATTTCTTTTAACTGAAAGTTCGCTAACTGAAAAAAGTTTCAGTTATATAGGACGGTTATCTGTATTTTTTTTATTTTCATATGTCAAGATGAACACCAGGATGAACATTGATGCATTTTAAATGCATTTGACAACTGTTTAGGCACATGAAAATCATTTCAGTTAGCGAATGCCGTAGAGTGTAAACGTCAAACGGCAGGGAAATGGATTATGTGTGCCACGATTGGTACTTCCAACTAAGAAAAAAAAAATAGATGGCACGGTAATACCAACCGGTGGAAATTAACGATTTTAAATAGGCTCACTACTTGACTAGCTTATTGATCCCAAATACATCTATAAGCGTACCCCATTCTAGTCGAAATTCTAGTACTACACTATTTTTGTTTTGATTTGCTATGAAAGTTTGACCATCGAGTTATAAAATTATCGGGTTATAGAACATAAATCTCATAGGAAATCGCCATTACAGTATGGAAATTAATACTTAGTTTAGTTCTATAAATCGATATCGAGTGGACATCGAGTTGTAGAGAATTAACTGCATTTCAAAACTCCAAGAACCTGTAATCAAACTAATTACGTACACAGGATCTTTAATTCAAGGCCTACAACTTACTGCCGTAAAATCTTGATAAATTTGCAGCACATTTGTAGCTGGAAATAATAAATGGGCAAAACTTCGGTTCAGTAGTGGGGAAAAAATTAAAAAAATGTAAGACAGGTTTAGAAAAGTTTTTCCACTGGAAATCTTCAAATGCCCCTAATGATATTGTCGAAAACTTGGCATAAAATAAAATCCACTCGAAAATAGGTAGTACGTCATTTGGCATAACGCCGTTAGACATAATACTATTTGTCTTCATCGAACATGGCTTTTTATCATGATCTGTTCTTCAAAAAATATTAAAGAACAGCTCATGTTGAAATAAAGGGAAAATACCCATTGAATGATAATTTTCCCTTCTTTCGGATATACACAGATATTTCCATTCCGATACATTACGAGACTGCATGGTGTCTCAAAAGATTCAAAATATTCTTATAGTGGGTTGACTTCAACAACCGAGGACCGTTCTAAGCCTTTACCATTTATGCATTCGTATACAGGGCTCTTAGCCATTTGGCTTAATGGCCGTTTGGCATAACCTTACTTACTCCGATAAATATATATTTGCCATTTAGGACTTCAACGGAATATGAAAGCACAGCTCAAGGTGAACAAGGTAACATAATTATATAACCTTTTCACCTTAAAAATGAGATATTGCTCACATTTCGTCATTTCTGGTCTATTTAGGGAACACAACTTCCAATTCATTAGCATTTGGTTCTAGCATTCCATTTTATAACGGTGGAGGAAAATTCATGCGGAGTTTTTAAAATAAAATAAAAATGCGTGGAGTAGGGGAAGTGTCTCTAATGTTGGCCTATGGATCTAAGATTGGGCCCATCGCTAAAAATCTGCTATTTATCAATTTTATCTAGAGGAACGCGTTATTGGAACGTTACTAATGGATATTTTTGGTTGCTATTGAAAATTTAGTCGATTACTGAATTTATGTATGGGCCCAAATTAGGGACACTTAGGCCGACATTACCTGCATTTCCCCTATAAATATTTTTTTCAAAAAAATTGTTTGACCCCAAACAATAATAAACAAATAAAATTATTTCACAAATTTGTTTCATTTAAAATCAACACAAACACATTTGATTTGCGATAACATATTTATATTTATATAATTATATAATTATATTTAACTGGCAGTCTAGCGCATAAAGTATTCGTCTACATACGTTTTTATTCAATGTAGTCTTGAGAATAAAAGCAAAAAGTGAATATTAATACTTAGTTAGGTTTCCCTTTGAATCTTTAACTGCTTGCAACTTTCGTGGCATGGATCTGACCAAATTAATTATATGATTTGAGTAGTAGCTATACTGAAGATCCGAGAGATGTCGCCCCTTCAGTGGTAGGAAAGTCATTTTTGCAGTATGGAGAATATCAGAAAATCCACGATTTGTGACTAAACCTTATCACCATAGTAATGTACTCGCGCAATTTTTGTGCATCTAAAACTGCCCATAAAGACGATAATGAATAAAAACTGAAAATTTCCATGCATTTTCAAATGGTTTCCTACCATTCCCATACATTCGAAGTGACTGGCCCTCTGGATGTGGATGATGTCAAAAACAACAAAACATGATTGGTTGTGACGCAGGATGAAATGTTGTCCCATTCTTTTTTCAAAGCTTGTTTCAATTCATTTTTATTTGAAACATGCCTTTTCCTAATATCATCATCCAGTATCTTCCAAAGATGTTCAATTGGGTTGATGTCTGGGCTCTGTGGGGGCGTTTTAAGTTGTTTTGGAGTATTATATAGCAGCCACAGCTTAGTATTATAATCTGTGTGATCATTGTCCTGTTGAAAGATGTAGGATCCTTGTAATCCTAATTTTTCAGCAGTGGCACTCAAATGTTCTTTTAAAATGCGGATATACATCTTATGATCCATAATACCTTCAACAAAATGTAATTTTCCCACACCTACAGCACTCATAAACCCCTACACCATAACAGACCTTCACCATGTTTCACAGTTGGAACAAGGTTCTGCGTCTGCATCACAGCATTTTTCCCCCGCCATACCGTGCGTCGGCAATCTGAACTAAATATGTTATACTTGCTTTCATCCGAAAATATGACACGATTCTAAAAGTCTTCATCCTTCAAATGGTGTTCCTTGGCAAAATCAAGTCGTTTCTTACGGTTTGTTTCATTCACCCAAAATTTCTTGCGAGCTACTGGGCCATGGTACCCATTTTTTTGTGCAGGTATTTCTAACTGTACTGGTACATACTATACCTTGATTCCTCTTCGTTCTTACTCACTAGCAAGCTTTGGTGCATTGGTTTTAGGATTTTTCTTGATTTCCCGTACAATAAATCGCTCATCCTTGTTTGATCTACGCCCGAGGACAACCACTCCGTGGTTTATTTTAGAAGGTTTTTGCTGTGCAGAAGCGATTAATAATCGATTGAACAGACAGACGGGGTCTGCCTATAAGCCTGGATATCACGTACGCTGACTTGCACTCGTTATGAAGACGCAGAATAAGTCTCCGTTCGCTCTGGGTCGTCTCTTTTCCTTTCCGGCCCATGTTGCTAGCTTTTCTACTACAGCGACTATACCATAGAGGTAACTCTAAGACTAGTAGGTCCCGAAGAAACGTGCTCAAGTTTTTGGCTCAGCTCTGGTACTATCTTCGGTCCTAAGCTAATCGATTCATTCCTCGAAACATAGGAAAATCCAATAACCCCTCATTTTATCTGTCAAAATTTCATAGCGAATCAAAACAAACATTGTATAGTACTAGAATTTAGACTAGAATGGGGTACGTTAATCGATTAGCTTGGGACCAATAGGCTAGTCAAGAAGTGAGCCAATTTGAAATCGTTAGTTTCGTATTGATTGTTGACTATACCTTCCTCAGATAGCTTTCAAAACAACAATACTCATTGTCCTGTCATTTAGCACTCTACTCCGAAGTACTAAAAAAATGCGTTAAAAGAGGTTTTGACAGTTTAACATTTCAATGCAACGAATACTCTTAATGTGGACGAATACTTTTTGAGCATGCACATCAGTAAGAATTATCCACTAATCGTATTCTTGTCACCAAATGTATTGGTTAATTTTCTTCAATATGTAAACACTAATGTTTTTTCCTTGTCCCCAAAACACTGAAAACGGACCCAGTTCTAAGAAATATGCTGCTAGACGAATACTTTTTGCACCCACTGTATGCTTCTATACGGTACCGGTGGTTAAGTAGTAAGCATGACTGCTTTCTCACCCCAGTGTGTCGGGGTTTAATCCCAGTCGGGTTACTGGGATTTTTATAAGGCGACGAAATCTCTTGTAACGTCCCCCTTCGGAGAGGATATTAAGTCGTTGAGCAAGGCCCATGCGTTGATGGGTTCGATAGAGTTGCCTCTCTGGCACTTGATTGCTGTCAGTGATTAGTAACAAATTGGCAATCGACGCTTGTCGAGGATTGGCACTCGATTGTGGTAGCTGACTGTGGAAAACAAAATTTCCTGCTACACGAAAACCGCTTAAAACACGTTCCTAGTCTGAACTTGGCATAATAGTAGTTTGATGCAATCTTATGATGAATATCTGCTTTGTAGTTGAGTCATCACCAAATTAGAGATCACAGATGATGGCAGTATTGTGCCTCAAGAAATTGTTACTCTATGATGGCAATAAAATATCTTCGACCGGACCGAACAAGCAACCTATGTTTTGTAGAGCTGCTCCTTTCTTAACTGAGAATACGCGGAATTTTAATATAATTTAAGTTTAGATAACCACACATCCAAGTATGAATGAAGTGATTTTCACTCTTATCACACCCATATATATTTAACATAATTTCAACTCTTTGAAGCATTCGGTGCTATCCGTGCGTCCACTCTGTAAACAATCTACCAAAAACCCTTCAATTAAAGTCGCAACAATAAATTTAAAATTACATATTGTCAGCGAATCCAAACACATAACCGGAGAACTTTGAGATTTGGGCGTAATTGTTACCTGTTTGTAATCTCGAAGTTCTCCGGATAAAGCAACCAACGATACAGACAAAAAAGTTGCTACGACTACCATGACAAACTCGCTCTGTAACATAGCTCGATCGGAGTGGTAGAAGGATAATGATATATTGCTTGCTTGCTTTGTTGCAATATACACAATATTACAATATGAGGACATAGTTTGATCTGAATCGAGAAAAGACATAACAAAAAAATTCCCATTAACACACGTGTATCATCTTCGGCTTTACTTCGTGAAGCAGATTGCTAAAAATTTGCTCGTTTCTTTCTACCGCCCTGAGTGAGCTGTGTCGCATGGGCTGCTTGTCATGAAAAAAAGGAAGAAGATTATTTTACAAACAGACGTTCAAACTGGAATCGATTTTGTTGAAAATGTTGGGTAAACTTTTTAAATTAAAATACGTTAGAAATGGCTTGCTCACTAGCGCCACGTAGGTTACTTCTGGAGTGGATTTTGATGGAACGAAATCAATTCAACGAGGATTCTGAATATGGACCCAATTGGGACTGCTAGATCTAAAATATCCATACCCGAAGAAGGTAGTTTAACCTAAACAAACCAAATCGTTACAGGATAAAACATCTCGCAGCTTGTGTCCAAGTCAAAAATAAAAACTTACTTCTGACAGCTGAATGAAAATTGCGCCACCTTGATGCTTATTGCCACTTGAATATCTCATTTGAAATTACGGTTACGGAGTTTTACACATGCCGAGATTCAAGCATGAATGTCTATCTGTGATTATATCATTATTGCTTTCCACTTCTGACATAGCGTTATCATTCGGTTCGTTGCTCGCTTGTCATTTTGTCATTTGGAGATATTTTTGATTCCTTGCATATTGGTGAGGACTACAACCAATTCACAGTGGGCCAAATGTACAATCTAGCTGAATAAAATTAATAACTCCTAAGCGTGACGACTTCTGCAAAGTTGTTCTGCTATAAAAGACCTACTTTGTGAATGAGAAATGTCAATTCAGTGGAGCAGTCAGTTCTATTTTGTATCTTTTGAACAAAGCAATTTACCGATTTGGTTCCTCCGATAAAGTTGTCTCAGAAATAACGATTAACAAAGTTGCTGAATATTTCGAAATAGTCAGAGCTAATTAATGTCGAGTTTTAGTTGATTTTGTAAAACTACAACAAATATGTAGTTTAATCTGTTTTATTTTATTATGTCGTCCACAACATTCACCTTATTTTATCTTAAACTTGTAAAAATTTCACAACGGTACTTGCTTGAACTTTTTCCTTTGGCGGTTTATGTAAATGTACTTTTTTCACGGGTTTCAACTTTATCTTCAGTCTGGGATGCTTATAAATCAGGAAAAATATAAACTGGCCTGTTTGTTTAAACAACTATCGCAACGGACTGAAAAATCGGTTTTATCAACATTTAATTTTTGTTTTCTACATAACTTCGGCGGTAGGCTGTGGAATTTTGACGTCAAGTTTCTACAATGCCAGAGAGAAAAGTTTCCTTTTGGCACCTTGGTGGATGAGTTTCGAACTATATGCTTAAGTCAATAGATAGTCCTTTTTTAGTGAGAAACTTTGCTGAAGACACGGAAATTCTCTGATTCAGAGCTATTAAATTTTATTCGCTAGATTGCTTTTCTGACCCACTGTGGCAGTTAATTCCTCAACAAAAGTTTGGTTTAAATTTACATCAGGAAAACCTAAAAATCAAGTCTCCGAAATGCTTCAATTTGAAGCTATTATTTATGTCAAATAGCACAGTATTCCTGATCCACTGTGCTCGAAATGTGA